GATTGTCTTTTTTCTTAAATGTGACTGAAATAATCACTTAACTGCACATGATACAACTTATCAATTAAATTGCAGTAGCGTATTATACAAAATTTCTTTCTAGTTCTCAAATGGCCTGTTTCCACTGAGTGATACGGTCCGGTACAGTTCGGAACGCTTTTATGGCCATTTCCATTGTCAAAAGGTACCTAAAGTGAACCGTACCGTACCACTTTTTGGGTACCCTTTAAAAAGGTACCTTGCACAACAAAAGGGTACCAAAAGGTGGAGCTAGATACGCAGCTGAACGCTATTGCTTTACAGAGATATGTCACTTACGCATACACAAGCAGGAGAATGAAAACAAAGAAACTGCCATTTTTAAATACACAGCGGAGACATTACATGGTAATTCTATATACATTTAATAATGAGTCATGGTCGACCCGAGCTCAATCAAACCATGTCGCTGTCTTAATGAACAGCCACAAAGCCAAGATATGCGGTGTCCTGTTTTTGTTTTAGGAGCCCGTCTAAAAGTGCGAGCGGTTCCACTTTCTCTAAAGAGCTCTGCTGCACGTCTATATTTTAGAAATAACAAACTTTTTGAGCTGATGATAATAACGTGCATGCGATAATTGAAGTGCTTTTGACATTCAAACGCGAGAGTGAAACATGAAAAAAAAAACAAAGGAGAAGCTGGAAAAAACAGAGCACATGGCACATGGAAAATAATGCACAGCCATGTATAACAGCCAATATGCTTAGTGCATTGTTTTCTAATAATTTAACACATCATTAAATATTCCTTACAATGCAAAAGCACCACTTGCCATCTGAAATGTCCTCAATGATGTGTGCTTAAGTAATTCAGGCTTATGATGAACACTATGAAGATGCAGTTCTCATATATTTATTTACAGTCTTCACATATCAAAGTATTGTATGGAACAAGGGCATTATTTGATTAAACATTGTTGAATGGAATCATACATGGTGTGGGTATGAACATACAGCATTTACTGTGGGATCTCCACTTCGCTCTGGAGACCCATAGAACAGTTAACAAAGGGAAATTATTTTTAAAAACTTGACATAGCACATTTTATTCCCACAATGACTAGCCTATTAGCATTGATGACGGCCTGCCCAAGCAACAATATGAATACAAATTATATTAAGATGAATTTTACCCAAATCTGATTCCTGCTGCACAAAGTCGGGGCAGGTTTTATTCTGGGTTAAGCTGCGGTCACATTAGACCAGTGTTCACCAAACTTGTTCCTGGAGGGCCGGTGTCCTGCAGATTTTAGCTCCAACCCTAATCAAACACACCTGAACAAGCTAATCAAGCTCTTACTAGGTATACTTGAAACACCCAGGCAGGTGTGTTGAGGCAAGTTGGAGCTAAACCCTGCAGGGACACCGGCCCTCCAGGACCAGGATTGGCGACCCCTGCATTAGACTTTGAACATGCGATATTCTGTCGTGCGGCGCTTCGAAAAGGGGCGGGATTAAACAAGTTAATTAGACAAGTAAAAAAGCGAGCGATTGGTCCATGTTTTAAATTTCTGTCCAGAGAGGTCATGTTTTGATCCTCGATTGGTCTCACGTAGTCAAGCGATGCGATTTCGCAGGTCAGAGTTCACAAAGCTTGAACTTTGCATCGCAGCAACCTGCGAAACTTGACGCATGACCCTGCGTTTCCGGTCTGACGTATTCGTGTGCGTATGAATGGAAGTCTATGGGAGAAAAAGCCCAGTGTGACCGCAGCTTTAGAGATCGCAAACTAGATCAGCTGTAAATAAAGTGGGATGTGGGATCCCCCCAGGCCCCAAGTGTCTTTAATTTCCGCTATGTAAATGTGTCCATTATATTTTGATAATGATACCTCTGAATCTTCAACATAGACATTAACTGCTGAATATCTGGAGAGAAATGACTCAAACTCATCCTCCGATGTCTTGCTTGTTTGCTGCTCGCATCACGGTTCCAGTCTGCGTTGACAGAGAACATTTATATAGAGTGTTGTGAAACAACTTAACCTGATCTTAACCAGGTCGGATTTTGTCAAACCAAAACTTACTCTGCAGCAGAGTTTGTTCAACTCATTATTGTGAAACAGGCCTCTGATGTTAATAACAGTAAAGCATGATAACAGTGTCATGTGATAAGCTTAAATTATGACTGAAACTTTCATGCTCAGTAACAACACAAGATGTCTTAGGTTTTTATTAGGTTACACTTTCAGGCATAAAGGTTGCTCTTTAAATGCATTTTTGAAAAACTAGTGCTGCGTCCCAGTTCACACTTATACTACACCCTAAAAGTATGTACTTTATGTGAAGGACAATGTTCATTCAATCATTTTCTTGTCGGCTTAGTCCCTTTATTAATCCGGGGTCGCCACAGTGGAATGAACCGCCAACTTATCCAGCAAGTTTTTACGCAGCAGATGCCCTTCCAGCTGCAACCCATCTCTGGGAAACATCCACACACACTCATACACTACGGACAATTTAGCCTACCCAATTCACCTGTACCGCATGTCTTTGGACTGTGGGGGAAACCGGAGCACCTGAAGGAAACCCACGAGAATGCAGGGAGAACATGCAAACTCCACACAGAAAGACCAACTGAGCCAAGGTTCAAACCAGCGACCTTCTTGCTGTGAGGCGACAGCACTACCTACTGCGCCACTGCCTCGCCGAAGGACAATGTATATACTTTTAAGTGTGTAACAGAGGAGTGTGCAAGCTTTGGGACATACTACTTTCTCGTTAACAGATTGTTATGTTGTTTAGTTATGCCCCCTGACAATCATCTCGACACATCATCCACATTTCTTTCATATTTAAAGGTGCAGTTGATGAATGTGTTCAGAAGCATTTGTTGTTGTGCTGGTTGAAAGTCTCTTCACAGTCTAATAGCAATGATTACAGTAAATGATCTAAATGTGTTTATATGTATTTATATATTTTGGGTAAGGCATAAAACTAAAAAATGTTCATCCAATTAAATAGAGTCGGACCGACATCTCTTATTATTCCGATAAGTAGCCCAATCTGTCTGTCAGCAAATGCAGATTTTAACAACTGCGCAGCCTTTTGTACGCAGCTCCGCCGACCGCCGCGCGTTCACAAGAGAGAATCTGTAAAAACCTGCTGAATCAAAACTTTTTAATAACCTGAATCAATATTGGAGTTACCTTTGCACGCTGGAGAAGTGATGACACCATGTCTGAAGGATTTCTCTTAGACAGGTAATGTTCTGTTTTAAAACCGTTTTAGCTTACCGCTAACCTGATGTAGCGTTAGATGTTGTTGTTACAAATGGGTTATATCATCACAGAAGTGTTGTTCAGCCACTAAAATCTTCCGATGAAAGATTGATAAGACTATTTTCAGTTTCATAAGGTCCTTTTACAGCATTGATGATGTAGATTTTAATTAGTTTAACAACAAAACACAAGTAAATAGCGCTATTCCGCCTAGTCTCTCCCTATATTGTTTACCATGCAACTCTAAATATTCACTCTGAAATAGCAGTTTGTCAGTTTGGCTTGCATGCTGCCGGACAAGCACTCGTCGCTTTTAACACATGAGAGAGGGCTCTTCTGCGGTGCTCGTGTTTCAGGAGGCGTGGCTCTAGACGGCAGGGGAGGGACTGTGATTCAGAGATTTATGCTAAGCTGTTAGCATTGTGGAAGATCACCTTCTGCACCTTTAATAAACTACCTTATTGGAGAAGCAGCAGACGGATAATCATGCAGAGTCTTTCATGCCGAAGAAATCTCCTCAGCTCTTTGGATAATTGTGCAATCTGATGATAATGTCTAAACATATCTTGATATAAGTTCACACTGTTCACACAGATGAATTATAACATGGAAAATGTGATTTAAATATGTTCCACTCGACTAGATATCGATTAACAGTCATTGAAACAACTTTATTGAAGCTTCGCTACTTGACACTTGGTCTTGCATGTTCGCCATGTTTGTAGTTTATTTACACTTTTCATCCTTGCTTGTAGTTCTAATCAAATTCATGTCTAACATGCAATGTATCGAGGCCAATGTTAGCGGTTAGTGTATGGATGCTTCAACACTGGATTTTTCCAGAAAATAGTTGACCATCCGGCAACCTTTGGCATACTCTGTTCAACATTATGGTTTGGGACATACCAATTCTATTTTTGAATACTATTTAGGATGGAGAGTATGCGAATTGGGACGCAGCATATGTAACCCCGCCGGTCCTACACCACCCAACCCGCTCTGAGCTGGGATCGAATCGGTGACCTTCCGCATGGGAGTCGGTTGCTCTAACAAGGAGGCTAAAGACCATGGCCTCTAGCGTTAGTCGCTAGAGCACCTTTAGAGGTCAGAGGAGTGAGGTTTACCTGCACAGCACACACTAGCTGGCCTCCGTTACACTCACCCCCTAAACATCACTCCCATCCGGGTCACGGCACCAATGTAACCCCGCCAGTCCTACGCCACCCAACCCGCTCCGAGCTGTTATCGAACCGGCGACCTTCCGCATGAGAGTCGGGTGCTCTACCAAGGAGGCTAAAGACCATGACCCGTAGCATCTATCTGTCTATCTAGAGCACCTTTAGAGGTCAGAGGAGTGAGGTTTACCTGCACAGCACCTACTAGCTGGCCTCCGTTACACTTAGGGCTAAAATTCCAACAAATAACCGCTTTTGTTGATGTGTTTTTCTATTTAAAAACTCAATAATGGTCTGTTCCATTAAGAATCTAGACTGGAATCACAAAGCTCCACATTATAGTATATCTGACAAGAGAAACCCTAACTTAATTATTACATGAACTTAAAAACACAGTTCCCATAATGTAAATATTAAGAAAATCCAACATGTATATCTACAATCAATGACACAATAAACGATATGAACTGTACAGCAATATTTACACAGTGTGTCTGACATTCAGACCATTAAAAAAACCAGAAGGGTCTCAATTTCAGCAGGCGACAAGCATCAGTGGTCAGATACCTGTTAAACAGCATGCAAAATGTAATGGATGTTACTTTTGAGGGATTTACATTTGCACAAGGATTTAACTGCTGATAAATATACCTTCAGTGGTGAGGGCATAAAGAAGTATATTAATGAATCAATAGTATTGCACAAGTCTTTAGCACACTGAAAAATAAAACAGAGATGCTTTAAAACAACACATCTTATCTTATGTTTTGAAATTTGTCTCTAAGATTCTTAACAACGCTGTGCTGACTAGAATCGGCCTTTTTTCCAGAAGCCACAGCATCATCTGATGGTTCACTACAGGATGAGGCTTTCTCTACTTTTTTGCAACACTCAGTCTTGGGCAACTTTTCTGTCTTACATCCACCTTCCTCCCTTAGACGGTATTCCTCTGAGTCCTGATACGCTCGACAGCGGTCGATGACAGCCTTGATTGAGATCTTCTCGTGAGAAGTTGGTGAACGGATTTGGACATAGCCATCATCATCCATTAATTCCGGTTTCTTGCCCTCTTTCGTAGATAAGTCGATCTCTACTGCCGGTGGAACCTCGGGAACTTTCTCAATCACAATTATATTCTTCTCATTTGGGAGCGTAGCTTGAGCAGAGACATAGTAGCCACTGCTGGCATCTGTACTCTGAAGAATATGCAGATCTCTCAAGTACAAACTACCCAATTTTTGGTCAAGAGAGCCAGCACGCTGTGTCCGAGTTGGGAATTGTTCTGTATTTTTTCCATTGTAGACCGTTTGAAACGAACAATCCGAGGAGCCATTAGAAGTGATTAAGTGGCTAGAAGAGCAGCTGGAACGTCGTGTAGAACTGCGGTCAAACATCCTGTCTGCTGCAGACTGATTTTGGGCTACTGCTGGCTGAGAAGACGGGTTGTCTAGGTGTGCATATTTTGAGCGAAGCTCCCGGACATCTGGCCAGTTGAACTTCTCGGGTGGTGTAGGACTGCGAGCTGGGCTGAGAGGCATAAGCTGCGCCTCCTGGTCTCTATCACGATCAGCCTGATCATATGGAGCCATGGACGGCATTGAGTCTGGTTTACCTGTTCATCAAAATGCTCAAAATTAGCGGAGCAGCAAAACGGGATACATTAAAATGACACGAAAAAGCTAAATCTCGGCAACTAATAGGTCACATTTTACAATCATAGATAAATATACTAGATATCACATAGGGACCCTGAGCATGCGTCAATAGCGCCGCCACATTGGTACAGTGCTCCCAGGACAAATGTCATTCAACCGCACTAGTCAAGACAGAGTTATTACGTGAAGATGCGGGACTTTAGCGCTGTCTACGAGTGTAGTAATGAGCAAACAAAGAAAACAAAGCATAAAGGCAGAACATTTCATAGGTAATATTTAGTTTTTTTCTGTTTTTGTATGTTCTGAACTTTTGTGCTAATCAGGTCACGTTATTGAGGATAACTGTCACTTACTGCTTTCACCATAAGACAAAGAAGCTCCAACTCGCACTAAACACTCGACTTATGCTAGTTTTGTTGAATAACATCAGCAAACAATGCAAAAGAAATATGACAATGAGATGCTGCGCTGCCAGAAACTTGTATTATTGTCGGCTAACGTTAGTGAAAGAGTCGTTCGGGGGATTCATTCACAAACAAATCGCTCTCTCCGTCAGTATGAGCAGTGAAAGCAGGAGAGGAGTTGTGTTTCAGGACACAGATTAGATTAAATTTAACAGGGAGGGTGGATAGTACATTTCTGTACACAAAAACAAAAGCTTTTTGTCAGGAATGCCCGTGCGGTCACTGATCCATCAATGTAGAAAAGTGATGTAAAATTATAATTTTCGTAATTAGAAAAAAAAATTACATACTAACATCCAGGAAAACTCCCGATCATAGATATATGTGTTTATGTGTATATCTCTGGCTTTGCATGGCCACATTCCTCCACTGTACCTTGGTCCCGCATTCATTTCAAAGGAGCGCTACCCTGTAGCAAGATGGCGGCGCTATTGACGCATTCCGTCCAATAGACAACAATAGGCCAGGCGACATCTAGTGTATATATCTATGCTTTACAATAAGGTTCATTAGTTAATGTTAATTAATGCATTTACTAACATGAACAAACAATGAACAAAACATTTACTACAGTATTTGTTCATGTTATTTAACGTTAGTTAATGAAAATACAGTAGTTCATTGTTAGTTCATCTTAACTCATAACTAATGTTAACAAGCATGGACTTGGATGTTAATAATGCATTAGTAAATGTTCAATTATGATTAATAAATGCTGTACATGTGTTGTTCATGATTAGTTCATGTTAGTAAATGCAATAACTAATGAACCTTATTGTAAAGTGTTACCAACTAACGTATACTAAAGCAACCAATCTAAAGAAATGTTTTAAATAACAGCAGAGAAGATGAAGATGCCAACCGATTCAAATTGGAAAGATCCTCAGACTGAATGCGATGTTACATTAACAAAAATGTAGACATTCATTCTGTTGTTGGCACCTTTGAGGAATGGAACACTAACTTGTCACAACGTCAAACAAGCGATTATTCTAAATGCAGAAGCCCTTGCTGTTTTCTCGTTTTACTGTAAAACCCTAATATTCCAGAAAAACCCAGATGTCAGGAAAAAAAAACACAGCTTCACCCTTGGTCAGTGGCGTAGCGAACGGGCCCGCGTGATTAGGGGGCCCCACGTCGTCGCGATTTTCAATAATTGAAAATCCGGCAACCGCAATAATCAAACTCTTGGGAACAACTGTGGTCGGAACCAAAGTTCACAGGTCTGTGTTCACTGAACTCCTCTCAAGCGGTGGACTTCTTCATTCTGATTGCTTGCCGCCAAACCGCGTCAGAGCTCATATCATAAAGTTGACTTGATTTCAACTCTCCTCGACGCTCACACCGGAGAAGACGCGCCGCGCTGTTCCTCGCCGCCGGTTCTCATTAAAAATGAATGACTTCTGGCTACTTTGACGCTCTCGCAACTTTCGGTTTGTGATCGCTCCTTAGTTTGTGAAGGCTTCTCCGCATTGTTGCTTTCCCGCTCCTCAGTTTGTGATCGCTCCTTAGTTTGTGATCGCTCCTCAGTTTGTGAAGGCTTCCCTGCGTTGTCGCTCCACCACCCCGCCTCGCTTCCCCGCTCCTCAATTTGTGATCGCCCCCCCATCGCCAACTGGGGGCCCTGTCAGTGATTCCTCATTTTGCGCTACGCCACTGCCCTTGGTATGACAAAAATTGAACCTGCCATAAGCTACACATACCTTGGGTTGAAAATAAGTGCTAATGGAAAACTAAATTTGGCTGTGAATGAACTAAAAGAGAGAGCAAGAAGGGCCTTTAACGCCATTAAAAAAAAATCAACACAATTAGAAATTCCAATTTGAATCTGGCTTAAAATTTTCCAGTCAGTGATTGAACCTATAGTTCTATACGGGAGTGAAGTGTGAGGTCCTCTCCTCAGTCATGAGTTTGATACAGTACTACTTTTCAGGGTCAAAACAGTCTGTTTACTGCAGACTTTTGCACAGACAGAAATATAGTGGAAGAGGTTAGCAATAAAATCAAGCTTAATGATGAAGATGTTTAATGATCCTCTATTGGGAATTTGAAGGACTGGAGTGCATCTAATGTTTTATCCTGCACATGCCCCTTGGATGGTTTCTGCACGGGCTGTATATACATATACAGTTGAAGTCAGAATTATCAGCCCCCTTTTGATTTTTTTATTCTTTTTTAAATATTTCCCAAATGGTATTTAAAAGAGCAAGGAAATTTTCACAGTATGTCCGATAATATTTTTTCTTCTGGAAAAAGTCTTATTTGTTTTTTTTCGACTAGAATAAAAGCAGTTTTGAATTTTTGAAAAAATATTTTTGGGACAAAATTATTAGCCCCTTTAAGCTAATTTTTTTCCGATAGTCTACAGAACAAACCATCGTTATACAATACCTTGCCTAATTCCCCTAACCTGACTAGTTCCCCTTATTAACCTAGTTAGGCCTTTAAATGTCACTTTAAGCTGTATAGAAGTGTCTTGAAAAATTTCAAGTAAAATATTATTTACTGTCATCATGGCAACGATAAAATAAATCAGTTATTAGAAATAAGTTTTTAAAACTGTTATGCTAAGAAATGTGCTGAAACAATCTTCCCTCCATTAAACAGAAATTGGTGTAAAAAATAAACAGGGGCGCTAATAATTTAGGGGGGCTAATAATTCTGATTTCAACTGTATATATATCAGAGGTCGCGTTAACCGAATATTTTGACGGATTTTTTTCAGCAGTGACAGAAAAATGTGAAAGTGATCTGTCATTTCGACGGATTATGCTGAGGGTGATCTATCCGCTTGTTAAGTGTGACGTCACGCAGAGCGGCTTACGGGTCTAAGCGCTCTATTCAACTGAATGGGGAGACTCATGAAATGGTAATAATAAACGTTTACAAAGCGATTTAATACTTTCGAAAGTCACGATCGCAATATATATGTCCATGCCTAATATCCGATGGCTGGAAAGTGATTCATTGTTTTATAAATTGTTAAAATTTTGGTATTTGTTATGCAGCAAGCCCAGCGGTTGTTGTGTACACTATGACTTTATGTAAAATTAACTTTAATGCGTGATAGGAATAAAACGCGATCATAAACGAATGATTTCTCCACTCAAATGAATGGCGGCTTGGACCCGGAAACAGTATTACATACGTCACAAACACGTCACCACTTAACAAGTGGATTGTAATTTGTGGCTAACTGTAATTCCAAATCCTGTCCAGCTGATGGCGATTGCCCTTGTTTTGTCTCCTCTTTGTCACGTACAGCGTACAGTTGCAATAATGTCACAACAGCTGAGTGTGAGAAGTTTCTTTAAACAGCCAAATAGTTGTGATATTAATAATAAAGGTGAAAAAAAGAGGAAGGTATGCAGTTTTGTTCATTCGTCAAATAAATGTTTTAAACAACAGCTAAAGATGCCAACCGATTCAAATTGGAAACACAGATCATGCCACCTCTTTCACTACATTTAGTAAAGATTTGCAGTCATGTAGGCCAGGGGTTCCCAAACTTTTCAGCCCGCGGCCCCCAAAATGACAATGCCAGTGACTCGTGACCCCCAATATTCTCTGAGGTGGTGGTTATAAATACAGAAACCTTGTATGCAATGACGCGCACACACACCAATAGACCCAAGTCTATTCTTTGTTTTTTTATGTATGTCAGTGCTGTAAATGGGCTAGAAAGTTTAACCTGGTGTTATAAAATCAATCTGCTGCATCTGACAGTATTGCTGTGTCTTAAGTATAATGTAATTACCCAAGAAGTCGCAATCCAATAGAACTATTAACTATAAGCTACTATAGAAACCATATAGTTTATAGTAACTATAAACAACTATTTTTTCTCTTCAGTAGGTTATTGATAAAATACAGTAAGTCTTAAGGTTTAATAAAAATTAATTGATTTTTGAAAATCACCAGGCGACCCCCCTTCATTGTCCCGCGACCCCTCGGGGGGTCCCGACCCCCACTTTGAGAACCTCTGATGTAGGCAAAGGTGATCAGTCTTACCTTTGACCTCCTCTGGCTTTTCATCCACCACCGACAGCATGTTCCTCTTGGTCAACCCTGTTTCTCCTGACTCCTGACTCCTCTGTCTCAGCATGGGTTGAGTGCACTTGATGCGCTGACTGTATTTCCTTGCAAGATTTAAAACCTTGCTTTGGGCTGAATCTCCATCTTCAGCTGACTGAGCTCCTGTGCCTCTCTCATATTCAGATTCTGCTCTTAACTGGATGACTCTGGGGGCTAGAGCGCTAAGGAGTCTACCTTCTTTCTGCCATTGTTTTTGTCTGATGGCATCATTCCTACTAATGGCTTCACTGTTTTCTTTTTCTATTAACGGTGATGGTGTGAAGGACTCTTCTTTGATAGTGCTCAAATCTGAATCTTCAAATGCAATCAGTCCTTTGTTTCCTTTGGCTTCAGTCTTTTCGTCCTGGTTTGGATCCCTCCTGATAAGGTTGGGACAGATCCCTCTGAAATAAGGATTTCCTCTGGGCACCAGTGCTTTGACGTCTCCTTGACATCTAGTGACCTCTCTTTCCATATCTTGCCATACTTTGATCATCTCAGAGGAGGGATGGAAAACCTCGTTCTGTTCACTCTCAGCTTGAATATAGGTAGACTGAGGTTTCACAGAACCATCTACATTGAACCCTGTGGGATTTGTGGAAGCGCTGACAACAGGTTGTTCCTGACGGGATGAATTTGCACTCGAAGTGGCTTCTGATAGAGCTGTGGTGTCAAATAGAGATTGCATGGACGAAGCACAATCTTTATCAGGTTCAAATGTTCTGACTGTTGTCTCTAGGGCAAGACCTTTATCTTTAGGAATGCTGTTTAAACGACTAACGGAGTTTCTAACAAGCCCACTTGGAATGTAACTGAGGCTCTCTCTGCGCTTCAAGCTAAACGTAGCATCCTGGTGTTCAGCATTCTCATAGTAACTCCTGATCTTGCTGATGAGTAGTTGATCTTGTGTGGATAGAACCGAATCCCTTCTTCTGCAGATGCTTCTATCACAGTCAAAAAGACCATCTTCTACTGACGACCCAATCGTGAAGTCTACGGATGCAAGATTTTCCTGGGTCAAAGGACTTTCACATGAATCAGAGTAGGTGCTAGTCAGGCGATGTTGGTGTTCAAGAGGATCTCGAAGACTTAGAGTGCTGCCTGTCCTGCTGGGAAGATGTGGCGATGGGCAACCGGGGGAGCGTGCATCATCTGTGCTGATGCTAATACGCCTCGCAGTACAGACAAAATGTTCAGCAATGGCGCTGGCCTGATCGAGCACAGATGATGGTAGGATGCTGGTCGAGCCTGGTTTCTCTTCTGTGTCTTCTTCATCCTCTGAGGATTCGCCAGGGGTGTCATTTTGATGTAAAAAAGACTTCCTCGCCTCTCTCTCTTTTTTAGGACCTTTCAGATCATCTTGGTCTATTGCAGACTCCATCTCCCGAATATCTAGGACATGTTGATGTACATCTATGGGCTCTGGATCACAAAAGGTGTCTTCCTTTGTTTTGTCAGTGGTTCCCCAGCAAGAGGTCATTTTCAAATGTTGTGATTTGTCCTTGATATGGTAAGAGGAGAAAGTATAAAGTTAATACTATTCAATACTTTTCAATTCAATTAATCTTTATTAATATAGCCCAGTGTATATTTTTACAGTGTATATCGTGTTAAAGCAGCTTAACATGAAGAAAATGGAGTAAATAATATTTCAAACTGGAACATACCAGCAATTCAGGCAGGAACGAATACAACAACAATTAGGGCCCTATCATACACCCGGCGCAGTGTGGCGCAAGGCGCGGCACAATAGTCTTTTGGTAGTTTCAGCTTGGAGCAAGAGTCGTTTTGAGGCGTTGTGCTACACTGTTTAAATAGCAAATGCATTAGCACTCATTTGTGCGCCCATAGGCGTTCTGGTCTAAAAAGGAAGGCGTTCTGAGGCGCACTGCTGGCGTGTTGCTATTTTGAGAAACTATAATAGATTTTTCATTAGACCAAAACAAACCCGGTCTAAACTCGGGCGCAGAGTTGCGCCTCGCTTACACACTGCTTAATACACACAAGAGAGCAATAGGCAAATATCTTTACATATGAAAACATTTAAATATTAGGGATATATATAGGATATAATAAGAACAGATATAGAATATAAATATAAAGGATTAAAATATTACAAAACATATGTATTTCATATTTCAAAAATGAAAAATCACTGCTTTTATGTCTTCTTCATCTCGGGAGGCTTTTTCAGTTCATTCAAGTTACTTTTGTATAATGTTATTATTATCAGCAGTATTATTTATTATATCCATATTTGTATTTGTTTTATTAAAAACAAGCTTAGTTTTGTCCACCTATCAGGTTTTAGACCATATGGGGCACAGCATGTGTTTTAGGATATAACTCAGGTTTTTGAGCACATTTTGTTATTATTGTTCATTTATTCGTTTGCTGGAAATTAGAACTGAATTTAGAAATAGTTTTGAAACGAATATTTGCGCTTAACAAACAAAATTATTTATTTATAGAATATATATAGAATATAATTGATGTCTGTGCGTAAAGGTTTCCCTATCCAAGAGCGAAAGTGAAAGTAGATCCATTATCTCTCATTCTCACGCAGTAGATGCTCTGTTTAACTGTTTTCTGTTAATAAACTGTGAACTGTTTGCTTGTGAAATGCTCATTTTTTTCCACTTAGACTTACTTTGCGTCCTGTAAATAGCGAATGCGCTCTTGGCGCGACGCAGCTGGCTCTTAAAGGGAATGGGAGATTAGACTCTAATTGGTTTATTCTCAAAACACACCTACAACTCATTATAACTCAACCCTTTTAGACCATGCGCCACGGTGCAAAGCGGATTTTCCCGTCCTTAAATTAGCAAAAACGCTTTCTGACACGCCCTGAAAGAGTTTGCGCCCTGCGCTTTGCGCTCTGCGCATGGACCATCAAAATAGAGCCCAAAGAGTGAATGCATGTATTACTTTAACAATAACCTGTTACTTAAGCAACTCATAATCAGCGTACTTCTAGTTCCAGCTGTAAAATATGAACAAACCGACAGTATGTTAAAGGAATAAACATGTAAACAACTCACCTGTTCAAAGATGCATTTTTCATCCTTCAGACATGCTTTGACCTGTTCAGCTGATGGCTTGTTTTCTTTTTTGAAAGTATTCTCAGGGAACGCACACCCCTCTTCCTCCTATCATAAAACACGTATGGATGTTTAGCATTCATGGAATACTTTAAAACAAATGAACACAAACAAACAAGAGCATTTACATTTAAGCAAAAGTGTTAAAAGACTGAAGTGTTATTTACAAATAACAGTATCAACCAGAAAGACAGTCTTCGACAGTCCGGATAGTTATAGAGTCTCATTAGCAAGCTGAAGAAGCAGACTTTTCCCACACATTTTCTGTGACAATGAATTTTTGAAAGGAAAATCATAAAATTCTGTTTATTATGGCAAAATATCGTAGACAGAATATTCCATTCATAACGATTGATAAAAAGTAAAAGTGAATTACTTAAGAATTGACCCAGCAGTCATAAGACGTCAATATTAGGTTAGGTTTAGATTACCAGCATCTAAGGACAATGTTATATTGATGTCCAATAACAATGTGAAATGACGTTAATATAGACCAAAATCCAACGTCGAACCAACATCTTTAACCAACGTCAAATACCGGCATTAATTTGTGAAGTATGTCAACCAACATCCAACGCCTGATAAACATATTGATAACATCAACACAACATCAAGCTGTTACATCATTACACGTTGATATTTTGTTGTTTTTAGGTTGCGCTAAATTGTAACCAAAATCTAACACCTGTCCGATGTTAGACATTGAAGTCGGCCTGACGTTGGGTTCTGGTTCCAATTTTCATTTCCAAACAAACATTTGGGCACAACGTCAATCTGATGTCATGGATTCAGACATGCCTTTAATGCGTTTGCACCGTGCGCTTTGGACTTTACGCCTAGATCATTAAAATAGAGCCCTTAAAGCTTTAGTCCTAATTGAAACCATAAATGGCAGTAAGCTGTAAAATGTACAGTAATGCTAGTTTGCTCTTTAAAGATCAAATGTTTTAAACACTTTCAATATAAGGGGGAATTTCATCAAAGATCTGGACAAAAAGCTTTGACTTTTTCACCAGCCCATTTTGATGTCCAATAACTATGTGAAATGACGTTAATATTTAGTTGATTTTAGGTTGTGTTGGAAAGTGACCAAAATCCAACGTCGAACCAACATCTTTAACCAACGTCATATTGACGTCAAATACCGGCGTTAATTCGTCAGGTATGGCAACCAACATCCAACGCCTGATGAACATCATATTGGTAACATCAACACAACATCAAGCTGTTACATCATTACATGTTGATATTTTGTTGTTTTTAGGTTGTGCTGGATTGTAACCAAAATCTAACATCTGTCCGATGTTAGACATTGAAGTCGGCCTGACGTTGGGTTCTGGTTCCAATTTTCATTTCCAAACAAACATTTGGGCACAACGTCAATCTGATGTCATGGATTCAGACATGACTTTAATGCGTTTGCACCGTGCGCTTTGGACTTTACGCCTAGATCATTAAAATAGAGCCCTTAAAGCTTTAGTCTTAATTGCAACAATAAATGACAGTGGGCTGTAAAATGTACAGTAATGCTATTTTGTTCTCTAAAGATTAAATGTTTTGAACACTTTCAATATAAGGGGGAATTTCATCAAAGATCTGGACAAAAAGCTTTGACTTTTTCACCAGCCCATTTTGATGTCCAATAACTATGTGAAATGACGTTAATATTTAGTTGATTTTAGGTTGTGTTGGAAAGTGACCAAAATCCAACGTCGAAGCAACATCTTTAACCAACGTCATATTGACGTCAAATACCGGCGTTAATTCGTCAGGTATGGCAACCAACATCCAACGCCTGATGAACATCATATTGGTAACATCAACACAACATCAAGCTGTTACATCATTACATGTTGATATTTTGTTGTTTTTAGGTTGCGCTGGATTGTAACCAAAATCTAACATCTGTCCGATGTTAGACATTGAAGTCGGCCTGACAATGGGTTCTGGTTCCAATTTTCATTTCCAAACAAACATTTGGGCCCAACGTCAATCTGATGTCATGGATTCAGACATGCCTTTAATGCGTTTGCACCGTGCGCTTTGGACTTTACGCCTAGATCATTAAAATAGAGCCCTTAAAGCTTTAGTCTTAATTGCAACAATAAATGACAGTAAGGTGTAAAATGTACAGTAATGCTATTTTGCTCTCTAAAGATTAAATGTTTTGAACACTTTCAATATAAGGGGGAATTTCATCAAAGATCTGGACAAAAAGCTTTGACTTTTTCACCAGCCCATTTTGATGTCCAATAACTATGTGAAATGACGTTAATATTTAGTTGATTTTAGGTTGAGTTGGAATGTGTGCGAACCAACATCTTTAACCAACGTCATATTGACGTCAAATACCGGCGTTAATTCGTCAGGTATGGCAACCAACATCCAACGCCTGATGAACATCATATTGGTAACATCAACACAACATCAAGCTGTTACATCATTACATGTTGATATTTTGTTGTTTTTAGGTTGCGCTGGATTGTAACCAAAATCTAACATCTGTCCGATGTTAGACATTGAAGTCTGGCGTTGGGTTCTGACATCAACCCAATATTCATTCCCAAACAAAATGCAACATCCCACGACATTTGGGCACAACGTCAATCTGACATCATGTTGACATCCTGTGCCTGCTGGGGAGCAACTGAGCTGAGAAGAGGTGGAGGAAATGTACTAAAGAATCTCCATTCAATTATTCAGGTAAAGTAGCAGAGTATTTAGATAAAAAATTGTTTCTTGTTGAGTTTTTATACTTGATACATACATAAAAGATAAGTAGTCCTGAAAATATTATTCTTTGTTAAATTTTAAACAATCAGCCTGGCTTTACTCTGTGTCCCAACTACACGCAATGCAACAAGATTCAAGTGACAAGCGATGTGGCTGTCTGCACCAAATGTGACGCGACACAACAAACATCTAAATACTAGCCATTCATTTAATTATCTGCAACAGCTTTAGGTAGTATAGCAATAAATGTCATGAATAATGGTGTTCAAACTCACATTGGTAGCATTTAACACTGAATAAAGCACATTATCTCTACCTGAGGTGATGATTGTCGTTGTAGTTTATGATGCTGTTATGCAGTGCCATTACAGAAATAGCATAGATATATACATTAGATGTCGCCTACCCTGTTGTTATCTATTGGAAGGAATGCGTCAATAGAGCTGCCATTTTGGTACAGGGTAGCGCTCCTTTGAAATGAATGCAGGACCAAGGTACAGTGGAGGACTGTGGCTATCCAAAGCCAGAGATATACATACATACATACATATATCTATACATACATATATCTATGATTGGGAGTTTTCCTGGATGTTAGTTAGGGCTGTGCAATTAATCGAAAATCCGATTTCGATTATGGCTTCTAACGATTATGAAAAACCATTAATCGAGATAAACGATTATTGCATCATATACCAAAAGCGCGAAAGACCGCGTGCTTATGTGTGTGTGCAACACGTGCACACGCATAAGCACGTGGTCGGCATTCGGTCTCATTCGCACACTGAGACGAGCAGAGGAGCGCAGACATCTAAAGTAATCTTAACATGAGCGCTTTAATGGTCAAACAGGTGTCAAAACGCGGTGATTAGTGATTATTCATATTAACCCTCATTTGCGTAATAAACAAACGAGTTGAGAATCAAAAGACACGGGAAAGAGAAACCATTAAAGAGACAGCGCGAAATGCTGCCGCTTGTTTTATCATTAATCAAACGACGAGAACATTCCCTACTGCTCTTGACTGAAGGATTTTTGTAGCTTAAGTGTTTTTCTTAGGGTGAACATGCTTAAAGCACAGTTTGTTTTATATTTTTATTCTATTGTATTTTTTTCTCTTTCCTTTGCAGGGTGGAAAATAACTGTATATATACAGTTGAAGTCAGAATTATTAGCCCTCCAGAATATTAGCAACAATTTTCCTCCAATTTCTGTTTAATGGAAAGAAGATTTTTAAAACTTATTTCTGAACATAATAGTTTTGATATTTCATGTCTAATTACTGATTTGTTTTATCTTTGCTATGATGACAGTACATAACATTTTACTAGATGTTTTTCAAAATACAAGCATTCAGATTAAAGTGCAATTCAAAGGCTTAATTAGAGTAATTAGACAAGTCATTGTATAACAGTAGTTTCTTCTGCAGACAATCAAAAAATATATTGCTTAAGGGGGCTCATAATATTGACCTTAAAATGGATTTCAAAATATTTAAAACTGCTTTTATTCTAGCTAAAATAAAACAAATAAAACTTTCTCCAGAAGAAAAATAAATATTAGAGGAAATACTGTTAAAATTCCTTGCTCTGTTTAACATAATTTGGAAAATAGTTATTTAAAAAAAGAAAATTCTCAGGAGCGCTAATAATTTTGACTTCAACTGATAATCGTTTTGAATAATCAGGATTACAATTATGACCAAAATAATCGTGATTATGATTTTTTCCAAAATTGAGCAGCCCTAATGTTAGTATGTAATTTTTTTTAATTATGAAAATTATCATTTTACATCACTTCTACATTGATGGATCAGTGATCGCACTGACAAAAAACTTGTGTCTGTGTGTACAGAAATGTACTATCCACCCTCCCTGTTAAATTTGATCTAATCATGTCCTGAAACACAGCTCCTCTCCTGCTTTCACTTCGCATACTGACGGAGGGATTCGTTTGTGAATGAATCTCCGTTATGAACGACTCGTTCACTAGCCGACAATAATACAAGTTTCTGGCACCGCAGCGTCTCGTTGTCATATTTCTTTTGCATTGTTTGCTGATTTTATTCAACAAAACTAGCATAAGCCGAGTATTTAGTGTATTATCATCAATAACGCTACCTGTTTAGCACAAAAGTTCAAAACATACAAAAACGTAAAAAACTAAACCTTACCTATGAAATGTTCTGCCTTTGTGCTTTGTTTTCTTTGTTTGCTCGTTACTACACCCGTAGACAGCGCTAAAGTCCCGCATCTTCACGTAATAACACTGTCTTGACTAGTGCGGTTGAATGACATTTGTCCTGTGAGCACTGTACAAATGTGGCGGCGCTATTGACGCATGCTCAGGGTCCCTATGCGATATCTAGTGTACATATCTATGCAGAAATAGAAACTTTTTCTAAGATAGGAGTTTTAAATGTCGTCATCACAGATGATTAGTACAAAAACTACACACAACCACATTGTGGGTTGGGACATTGTGTTAGGTGGGACAATGTTTTAGGGGGTATTGGTATTTGCCCAAAAAAAGAAAAACAGTAACACGTTATTTTGCTGGTCCATTTGAGTATCAGTAGACTGTCTGCTTAATATCTGTTGATACTGCTCCTTCAAGAGACATTTAACTGACTATAAGAAACATTAATAGTAAGTACATAAGTACATGTCAACTTAAAATAACCCCCCAACCCTAATCCTAACAGTCTACTTATAATCGAATGACAATTAATTGGCATGTAGATGCAATGTAACTTAAATTCAACAAATGGACCATGAAAATAAAGTACTGTATATGCATTTCCTGATTAAATGAAACAAGGCAACTCCTGAATGATCTCAGTGTTTGCTTCTGGCTAATATGAGATGTTAGTGGGTTGAGGCATTCAATGAGAGCGCATGCAAAGTGGCAGGGAGGTTTGGCGGGATTGCAGACCAGGCTAGGTTATGACAGAATCCCTCTTGGTGGCAGACAAGCTCACCATTGCGAAGTCCATGGAAAGCAAAGCTCTGGCTCTATAGTGCCAGCAGGAAATGGCAGCCAACATGGAACTGGCAAAGTCAGCTACCTGGTTGTCCTCCATTAGAATATTGTCGGAGTCACTTTCCCCCGCTTCTGCTTCATCTTCATCCTCACGTATCAATCTGCCCTTCACAGACGGCATTATATGAACTGGCTCCTCATTATCACCGGGTATAAAGGCTTTGAGAGAGTATTCTTCTTGTGCATCAGTCTCTTCAGCTGAAGACTCACATAAGCCAAGATCAGCAGAGCTTACACTATCAGTGGCCTGTAGTGGCCATTTGTCAGCCTCCATCGGAGCCTCAATGTCAGAATGCTGGGGTCACAATAAAGTCACAATGAGGTACATTGCATTTATTTTCTCATGAAGTACAAGGACATGATCCAAACATCGTCCTCACTCTAAAATACTCTGAAGACACTGTACATTTGTAATAGTTTTACTTTTATTATCATTTCTTATTTATTATTTGTGATTTTTACAAGTGTCTAAAGGACGATTCACACAGAATGCTTTTTTACTTTACAATTGCCTACTTTTCTATTGTTTTTCAATGTAAACATGCCCTTGCCGGATGTGTGTGACCATTAAGGCTGAAATAAACTTCTGAATCACATGATAGCCTTAACCCAAGACACATGCTTTGCACGTAGCTGTGATCTGTCTGTGTTGCTCTTCTGAAGCGCTAGCTGGCCGCGGGTTATCAATGTTCCTCTTTGTTGAGTTTCCTCAGAAGTGTTTTGAGTTTACACCGTAAATGCATGAAATGCTAACTTACTAGCTCAAACGAATGAGGTGGGAACCGGTGAATGTGCAACAGTGTGTATCAAAGTAAACACAAAGCAAAAGTATCAATCTGGAGCTCCCCTGCAGAACTCGACACTTGTTAAACACTCGTGCCCACTGGCCTTGCTCCGCCCTTAAGGCTCTCGATCAGCGTGAATGAGCCCTAATGCCGAGTTCAGACTGCATGATTTTCAAAGTCGTCGTGTCACAGATGTTTTCACACTGCATGACTATCTGGGCTAGCGTTTCGTCTCTGCTTTGTTTACACTGCAAGATGGATCGGCGACAGGGGCTTTCACATTGCATGACTTTACTATAGGAAGAATCGCCGACAACTTCCTCCAAACTACGTCTCACAGCCAAAAACACGTCGTATATCTTTTATTATTAACTACATAATGAGAAAGAAGCCTTTAATGGGGTGGAAAATGTCCATGTTTGCTCACCTGGGTTTAAAGGGATTTAGCCATTTCTCCTCAACGTTGCTAATAAACTAATTTCTTTCTGAAACGTCAAACAGACACGGTTGCTATTGAGTCCTGTCAAACCTCCACTAGTTTTTCCTCCATTTTGTGGGTCCAAATAAACCGAAAAAGAGCGCTTTAACTTCTCCCCCAGCCTCCCGCTGGCCTGCAGCAGGTATACACACACGCACACGCAAGTGAATGCCGCTCTCTCATTGGCTGTAGGCGATGGCTGATGTTATTTTCAGTCAAAACTCAATTCACACGGCATGATTTGAATCGCCGACAGCTCCAGATATTTAGCACGCCAAATATCTCGCAGGCATCGGCGACTCATCGGCGATTCTCTCAGATGGCGTATTTGATAGTTCATACTGTGTGATTGTCACTCACGTGCACGAGCAGCGATTTGCCTGTGATTTCAGGCATTTGTCGGCGATTTCTCAAAACCTGTCGGCGAGTCAAAATCGTGGCTAAAATCACGCAGTCTGAACTAGGCATTACACTCCAGCAATCTTATGGGCTTTTAACATCACAAACTACAAGTTTCCTATCATCTTATATCTACAAATGAGTATCTATAATTAGAAATGTTTCTATTACTTTATATTAATATTAACTATAACTACTGGCTTTTGAATGTTCTTTTGGGTAATTTATTTGCTTCTTACCTTCTGCATTGCTGAAGAATTTCCCAGACATCAGATCAGGCAAGTAAAAAAATAAAATAAAATAATAATAATAATTAGTTGGAGGGCAGAGTAATGTATAATGTATAAATATCAAGGTTTTGTAACAATACCAAAAATGTGAGCTTGATTTTTTGACATTAGCCATTCTTTACAGAATTTCTTATTTCTGCTATAAGCAAAGTATTCTTAAGCCATGCCATAATCAATGAAGTCACACTTTCTTTGTAATTGTCATAATTAAATACTCTGCTTGAATTAATTCAATTCAATTCAATTCAGCTTTATTTGTATAGCGCTTTTACAATGTAGATTGTGTCAAAGCAGCTTCACATAAATGGTCATAGTAACTGGAACAGGGTAGTTCAGTTTTTAGTGTTTAAGTTCAGTTCAGTTTAGCTCAGTTCAGTGTGATTTAAAATCATTACTGAGAGTCCAAACACTGAAGAGCAAATTCATCGATGCATAGCTCTACCAATCCTGAACCATGCGAGCCAGTGGCGACAGCGGAGACGGAAAAAAAAACTTCACCTGAATTACTGTGTCATCAAACATTGAAATGATTTACTTTGAATTAGGAATTAATAGAAATGTACCTTTAGTGCTCTTTAAAGCTTCTTTAGATGCTTCTGTTGGAAGTTAGAAGTGATCATTAAAAATTGTGAAATTTGTACAATATTTATATTTTCTGACAAAAGGCACCCACCTGGCTGCTTCAGGCCTTGTCTAAAGTTGGAAAATTCCTCTGACTGGCATGACACAGACTTTTTGAGTCTTTCAGGGCTGTACCTATACTTTTTGTCTTAAACAAACAAAAAAAAATGTCTGTGAAAAAACCCACTGACATTTTTTAATGGTACAAAAGAGTTTTACGTTATTTTATGAATGGTTATGAATATTTACATATTGAATCCATCTCTAAAATGGCTTCCTTTGCCTAAAAGAGAAAAAAATCCAAAATATTCAGAGAATTTGCAGATGTTTTAAAATAAAAAACTTGATAACAGATCAATAAATCAACACATACCTTTTGTGGTATCACAGCCTGATGGTTTTCTATAATGAGACGTTTAATATG